CACTGTGAGTGACCCCCCCCCTCAATTGTTGTACAATGCTAGATATCAGAGATGGGTAGGAGAGACCTGATTTGCCTCCATGTCAGAAATAAAAATCTGGAAATTCATACCATAAATCGGCTTGTCAAACAGTGAAAATTTCATTTTATTTTTTAAATTATTATTATCATGAAAATCAACTAGATAACATGGTTGATGTTCAAAGTATATCCTAACGATTGTATTACGAGGAAACCTGTTAGTGACTTTTGTCAAGAAAAAGTGATAACATTATCTGAATAAGGTGCTTATATACAGTACCGGAATAGAGGATGCAATAACATAGGTGGAGAGCATCATGAGATAAATATTGCCAAGGGCAACTGAGTGGGGTATAAAAGACTGGAGCAAGTGAGAAAAAATCAGACCAATGCTTAGTTGGGCAAAGAAGAAAACCCTGGCAGTCAAGTAAAGGCTATAAGCGGGAGCAGTGGTATGTAGGCTTTGGAACTTAATTACATTATTAGTTACATTAACTAGCACTGACCAAAAGAAAAGTCAAAATGAAAAAAAGATGGAAAATACACTTGAAAAATGAAATATTAAGACTTACTGGATAACAAAAAACCACTATTAATCAATACAAATGTTGTCTAGTTTTAAGTTTTTAAACTTTTGTATTTTACTTTCATATAAATGATGTAGTGTGCTTGTGTTAAAAACAAAAACCTGCATGCAGTTGGTTTAGTGACAGTAAAGTTAAATGTTTGTTCTATAACAAAATGCATAATGAATTATTTGGACTATATCACAATTTTTCAATCTGATCTGTGTGTTTGTATGATATAGCAAATTGTAATATATTTTATGTCAAGAACCTTGCATTGTCTAGAAATGTGAATATATAATCAAGCTCAAAAATTATGGAATCCACTAAGTAGTAATATAATTTAATCTTCAGCTGGAACATTATTTGTGAAATCCACTAAGTAGTTGTGTAATGCATGTTTTACTTGAAACATTGTTTGAGGAATCCACTAAGGAGTTGTGTAATGCAGGTTTTACTTGAAACACTGTTTGAGGAATCCACTAAGTAGTGGTGTAATGCAGGTTTTACTTGAAACACTGTTTGAGGAATCTACTAAGGAGTTGTGTAATGCATGTTTTACTTGAAACACTATTTGAGGAATCCACTAAGGAGTTTTGTAATGCAGGTTTTACTTGAAACACTGTTTGAGGAATCCACTAAGTAGTGGTGTAATGTAATTCTTAAGTGTAATCCAATAACTAGTAGTATATTTTAGTCTTTAGCTGGAACACTCTTTGTGAAATTCACTACGAGGTTGTGTAATGTAATTTTTAAATGAAACATTGTTTGTGAACAGGAGGTAAACACATAATATCATGTAATCAAAAATAATTTATAAATCCACAATATTAAATTTTTATGGATGCTATTTTTAACACTTTCATGTGTTATCTTTGGTACAGCATTTGTTTTTGAGAGAAACACAAACACTGTTTGTTTTATAATGGAAATACCAAGTCTTTT